ATATTAGGTGAAGTACCACCCTGTTACCCACCCTACAGCATCCTAACCCATCACCTAATGCCACCCTTCCAATAGGAATTTCCTCTTGTCTCGAGGCTATAAACGTTGGCTACTAGCCCTTTAAAGGGGTCGACTCTCCCATGAGCCCGCCTGCTATTCTAACAGTGTCTCCCACTCTAATAAACTCTCTTCTCTCATTCTGTCTCGTATCTGGAAATTCTTTTCCAACCCACGTATGCACCATGACAAAGAGCATGAAGTGAGTGAGCTTCCAGAAAGCAGGGAATTCCTGAAGGTGAATTTGAATCTTCTAACATATGCTGAATTATTTAAAAAAAGAACTATGTCACTATTTGCTGGATGGTCAGATTGCACCCTAGGCTGGAATATAACAGGAATGCCACTCGAAAGAGACCAGTACACGGCCCATCACCAGATGAAAGAGGTCTAGCTTTAAAGCAAATGGGCTGAGTGCACGGCCAGCCGCTTGCGATGTGTCTGGGCCCCAAGGCCAGCAGATCCACTCCGCAGCCAACACAGGCAGTACTGTACCTTTAAAGAGTTCAAGTCAGCGGAGAATGTGTGTCTTCACTTGTTCCTTTGGAATAATTGTTTTCCTCCCCAAACTTAAATCAGTTCTAGTTGAAATCAAGTAGGCATGGAAAAGTTAATCTCCAAAGAAGTGTTAACACGATTTATGAGTGAAAAATTCAACTATAATAGAAGTCAGTGTCATCTGCAAATAAGAGTTTTACTTTTTCTGTGATACTACCTATCACAGACTCCATCAAAAATAACTTTTAGAATAAATTCAGTAAACTTGCAGGATATAAAATCAGTACACAAAAAAAATCTGTGTTTCTGTTCACTAACAATGAACTATCAAAAAGAAATTAAGAGGGTTTCCCTGGTGGCTCAGAGGTAAAGATTCCGCCTGCCAGTACCGGGGACACACACAGGTTCGATCCCTGGTCTGGAAGATCCCACATAGGGTGGGGCAGCTACGCCTGCACCACAGCTGCTGAAGCGCACATGCCTAGATCCTGTGCTGGGGAAGCCGCTGCAGTGAGACTTCTGTGCCCCGCAACCAGAGGGCAGCCCCCGCTCTGCAGCGGAAGAAGGCCCGCCCACAGCAGTGAAGACGCAGCCCAGCCAGAAGTAAAATAGACATTTAAGAAGACAGTCTCACTTACAGTTGTATCAGAAAGAATAAAATACCTAGGAATAAGTGTAAAGAGATGAAAGATTTGTATGTTGAAAACTACAACCCATCGGTAGATGAACAATTAAAGAAAATGTGATGAGTGTATATATACACGCACAATGGAATCTTATTCAGCCGTGAGAAAGAAGTAAGTCCTGCCATTTATGACAGTATGGATGGATCTTGAGGGTATTATGCTAAGTGAAATAAGTCAGAGAAAGACAAATGCTAAATGATCTCACTTATATTTAGAACCTGAAACAAAAACTTCATAGAAAAGAACAGGTTGGTGATTGCCAGCAGCAAGAGTAGGGGGATGGACAAAGTGGGTCAAAGGTCCCAAAATACCGAGGTATAAGTTTTGGGGTGTAACGTAGAGTGTGATGACTAGTTAGCAATACTGTACTGTGTATTTGAAAAGTGCTAAGAGTGGATCTTCAAGTTCTCATCACAAGGGAAAAAATAGTAACTGTGATAGATATTAACTAAACGTTGTAATCATTTCCTGATATACACATGTATCAAATCATCATATTGTATGCCTTAAACTAATACCATGTTATATGTTATAATTATATCTCAATGATAGCTAGATTGTTAAAATTTTTCTTTTTCATAGATCAGAATCTTTTATGAAAGTGTCCATATTACTAAAATTATAATTCTTCAAAGAAATAATTTTATAAATGTTTTTAAGGCTTACTATAATGCAGTCCCTTAAAATAGAATTTGTAGAGAATTTGAATAGAAAACCACAAGTTAAATCTTTTTTTTTAATTTCAGTACTCTGAAGTGCTTAAGCAGCTTTTTTGGAGATGTATCTTTTTTAGAAAAATAGTTCTTAAAATTACAGTGAGATTGTGGTCTCACACACAGACAGAAACCTGATGTGGTCAGTTGTGTATTGAGTAAATTCATTTTCAAATTAGCTATATATCTAGTAAATTATTAAAATGGAAAACAGCATTTAATTTTACTAAGAAAAATGTTGATGCTGAGGAATCTATTTTTTACTTAGGACTAAAATTTACAGCTAAAAACCAGTAGGTGTCACTATGATGACAGATTTTTTTTTTTCTTTTTTTTTTCCTTTTCCCCCTCTCAGCAGTTCTGTGCAGATGGGTGCATACCATCTATGAACAAAGATGTAGAAGAAATAATAAATTGAAGCAAAGATGTCAAGATTTCAGGAAGCATATACAGTATCTCTGGAGAGTTAGTAGTACTTTTGAGAATTGTATTTTTTTCTTTTTTCATATTTAATACCTGCAGATCTTTATGTAACTGATGTGAACTTTCTAGAGACAAAACTATGGTAATTGGTGAAACATAGTAATAGGAATTAAAGAGCTAGTTGTCAGGGTATCTTTTTCCCACTAAGTATGAGAGCCAAGGCTTCCCTGGGGGCTCAGACCGTAAAGAATCTGCCTGCAATGCAGGAGACCCGGGTTCAACCTTCAGGGAAGATCCCCTGAAGAAGGAAATGGCAACTCACTCCAGTATTCTTGCCTGGAGAATTCCACGGATAGAGGAGCCTGGCAGGCCATAGCCCAAGGGGTCAAAAAGAGTCAGACACGCGTAAGCAACTAATACTCTCATGGGAGCCGAAGTAGAATTTGTATCGTTTACTCACTGAAGCATTCTACTGTGTCTGGTTGTATTCAGAGAGATCTATAGTCAATAGTAGCACTCCATCTTAATGGAATTTACAGTCTAGTTGTGCACATGTAATAATGAAATAGTAAAACCAGGACCATAATATTACACAGTATCATAGCAAAGACTGTGCCCTATAAGTGAGCAGTTTATGATTAAAATCAGGGAATTCCTATTAGGAACTATCTGTGTAAGTTATTATCAGAGAATCATTAGGCTTAAAGATAAAATTTGAATTTACTAGGATTTAGAGAATGAAAAAATGGCAAAATATCTGGTTTGGTTTAGTTCAGTAAGCATTTATGAAGCACCTGTGATCCAGTCACTTTATATTCCTAGAAAAATGGTAGGAATTAAAAAAAAAAAAACTAATAAAGCTTGGTTTCTGCCCTTGTTTATCAAAACACAGATGAAAATACTGGCAGATTCCATTGATAATTAACAGACATCTATGATGTTGAAGACCTCAGATAAAACTGGAAATTGGGAAGTTCACTGGCTTTGGGAGTCAGAAGACCTAACTTTTAGTTCTGCTTCCATCACTAAATTGTATACAGACTTAACGTCACTTAGACAGTTTTCACATTTGCAACTTTATTAATTTGTGTTCACCCTGTAGATTAATTAGACTACATGTGACAGGGAAGTTGCTCTGTAGAGTAAGTTGTGTGACTGATAGGGGAAATTGCTACCCAGCACGTGGGTTTTTGAGAACGTAGCTGAAAATAGCAATTCCTAGTCTAGACAGGGCAGGGATAGTGATGAAGAGCTCGGTTTGGAATTTAAGATCGTGGGAATTTTTAACATCCATATATAGGTATGTCTATGCACTGTTTATATATCTTACAACAATAAAATTTAGATAATCTGCCCTGTTGCTTTTTTTAATATGTGTTCATAATCGTTAGCCTAAGTGACTAAAGTTACTATTTTTTTCTTGCTTTTGAGAACACCATCATTATTAGTAAGATCAAAAAGATGTTAAGATATCAAAAAAATATCTTTGCCTTAGATAAATATTTTGCTTTTGTATAATTATTGAGAAAATACTATGGGCTTTGAGTAGGCAGCTACGCCTATTTAAGGATTTCCCATTTCCTTTCCCAGAAGATTAAATTGTTCAAGAACAAAGAATGTGTTTCATGCTGTTTCATATCCCATGCATAGGACTTGTGCTGTGTGTTTAAAAAAGGGAAGTTCTTTCCATAGTATCAGGCTTAGTGATGAGTTTGATTAAGGGAGATTTGGATTGCCCTTGCTATTTCTGTTCACGTTTGAGTATGAAGATAAAGATGATAAACATGTTCTGTTATTTTTAGCCTACATCATCAGGTTTCTGTTTTGTCCTCACCTAGCTTATAATATTTGCTATTTCTCTTAGGGAAGCTTTTAAGGTAAACTGCACACTGTGGAAGTCGAAACTTGACGTTTTATCTCCCTGAAAAAGAACAATGACTCCTGATGACCAAGAACAATTTTTTTTTCCTTTAAAAATTGAGGTCATCTGTTTGGAACTTGGAATGAATCTTCGATAGAAGCAGCGATGTAGGTAGTCATTAGGCTTTTCTAGCCCACAAAGACTGTCACAGTCTCAAAATATCACAGTGCCAGCCACAGAACCAGTGGTACGTCATGTTGTAGGCTAGTAGTCAGACGCTGTACTGAATGATTGTGTTTTTTTTTTTTGGAGAAATATATCCGAGTCTCAGCTCGTGGGAGCTGGAGCGTGGCTCTGGAAGCAGCGTGGCCGGTAGAAATGGGGGAGGCAGAGCCCCTTCGTTGCCGAAGGGAAGCTTCTGTGGATGAGGCCCCATCCTTCCTGGCCCCCCCACCCCCGCGGCCTCTGTCCAGCCTCCTCTCCTTGCTGCTGTTTCACTTACTGCTTCAAAACAGAGTTCTCCATCCAGCTCCCCAGCGAAGGCTCACCGTTTCTGGTCTGGTGCTGAAGAGGTTTGGAAGTTTTTTTTTTTCAGTGATTTGTGAATAAGAAGTAAGATGAGAGAATTGCTTCTCACCACCGCCCACAGACACATGTCTAACATCTTCATGGGACGATGGTGATTCTTTAAGCCCACTGCTGGGGAAGGGAGTCTCCGTCTGCAGATTCCGAGAGCTCCCGTGGCGTCAGCGCCCTGGTTCTCTAAGGCGGGACGTGCTGTGAGTGCCGGCCGTGAGGTTGCTGCCCACCGGCGCACACCGGGCCTGGAGGAGTGATGGAGGGCTGGGACGAGCAGCCCGTGAGCGGCCCGCAGGCTCCGTTTTCGGTTCCTTTCTTCCCTCGTCTCTTGCCCCAGCGGACCTCCCCATCACAGACATAATGAAGCGAGGCAGGGTCGGGGTGGAGCTCCCAGGCCCCGGTGGTGTCTCCGATCCGGGGAGGAGAGCGAGGCATCGTCCTCTCTCCTGTGTCGGATACGCGCGCTTGCCTGGATCTCGTGTTAATGTTGGCTTTATTGTCTTACCATCTCATGGGGGTGTCTGATGAGGGGCACAGGGTGGGACCACACTTGAGTCCGGAAGGCATGGTGCTTCTTAGGACCAGGTGAACGTGAGAACCTCTCTCGCCCCTGGCGCTCCCCTCCCCCAGTGCACATCTGGAATTTCAGAAGTCTCCACGCGCTTGATAGCATTCTTAGTGGCTGTGGGTTGCAGATGACCTTGCCCCATGGAGGTGGTCAGGGTGTCATCTTCATAGGAGGCCCAGGGTCAAAGATGAGTGAGTTATGTTTTATAAGCTAGGTGACCTGGTTATATTTTATGCTGTGACTGTTTCTATTTTGTGACCCCCAGTCTTTAAAATGTTGCAAGATGATGTCAGCTGAATGGCAGTAATTAAGGAAGGACCCTACTCTCAGCCTCAAATATCTGGTGGGGACCGCAGGGAGAAAGTGCCCTGAGGGGAAGGTGGGTGCTGTACCTGTGCCCGCCAGGCAGCATCTGGTTTCAGTTTTAGTAAAGATAAGGGCAAGTTCCTTTTTAAGTGTTTGGGAAAAGAAGATTCAAGGTTACAGCAAGTGCAAAAGTAAGAGGCAGTATTCATAGTTGAAGCAGCCAGTGGACTGGCTGAGCCAAACCTAGGTGCCCAGTGAATCTTTAAACACTCTGATTAAATGTGTACAGAAGGAAAAATGTGTGCTTCAAACATTAGCTAGAATCAAACTAATTTTCTTTAATTTTTCAGAAGATGAAAAGATGCAAACTTAAAGGTTATGCAGAATCATTAATTTAACATATTACAAATGTACTGGAACTGACCCCTAAACTGGAGAAGCACCCCCCCCCCCCCCCCCGCGCAGCCAGGCCCCACACTAACCCTTCCTTTAGCTGCCGCTCTGTCCATGTGCTCACGCTCATAATGAAATACCCGGGAAGGACTCTGGATGTTCGGTACTGTCTGCACTTCCCTTCCCTGCATCCTTCCCTGAGCCCAGCCCGGCGCCCCTCCCAGTCCCCCCTCCACTGGCAGCCTCCATCAGGCCAGATCCCTGCTCCATCTCCTGTCCTCGGTCTGCGGTCAGCAGGTGACCCCTCCCTCCTCCTCGGGGGTCCTTCTCCCCCGGGCATCCTGTGTACACAGTGCCGCTCTGCCTCCCCCCGCCGTGGGGACCCCTCTTCTTTCAGACCATTGCTGTGCCTCTCAGTCAGGCCTCCAGCCTGTTCCCTGCCCTGACACCAGGCCCATGATTCCATCAGCACCCCAGCTTGTAGCCATACGATCAAAGCCTTTGACTGTGTGGATCACAACAAACTGGAAAATTCTGAAAGAGATGGGAATACCAAATCACCTGACCTGCCTCTTGAGAAACCTGTATGCAGGACAGGAAGCAACAGTTAGAACTGGACATGGAACAACAGACTGGTTCCAAATAGGAAAAAGAGTACGTCAAGGCTGTATATTGTCACCCTGCTTATTTAACTTATATGCAGAGTACATTATGAGAAACACTGGGCTGGATAAAGCACAAGCTGGAATCAAGATTGCCAGGAGAAATAGCAACAACCTCAGATATGCAGATAACACCACCCTTAATGGCAGAAAGTAAAGAGGAACTAAAAAGCCTCTTGATGAAAGTGAAAGAGGAGAGTGAAAAAGTTGGCTTAAAGCTCAACATCCAGAAAACTAAGATCATAGCATGCAGTCCCATCACTTAATGGCAAATAGATGGAGAAACAGTGGAAACAGTGGCTGACTTTATTTTTGGGGGCTCCAAAATCACTGCGGATGGTGATTGCAGCCATGAAATTAAAAGACGCTTACTCCTTGGAAGGAAAGTGATGACCAACCTCGATAGCATATTAAAAAGCAGAGACATTACTTTGCCAACAAAGGTCCATCTGGTCAAGGCTATGGTTTTTCCAGTGGTCATGTATGGATGCGAGAGTTGGACTATAAAGAAAGCTGGAAAAAAACAAAAAACAACAACAAAAAAAGAAAGCTGAGCGCTGGAGAATTGAAGCTTTTGAACTGTGGTGTTGGAGAAGACTCTTGAGAGTCCCTTGGACTGCAAGGAGATCCAACCAGTCCATCCTAAAGGAGATCAGTCCTGGGTGTTCACTGGAAGGACTGATATTGAAGCTGAAACTCCAGTACTTTGGCCACCTGATGCGAAGAGCTGACTCATTGGAAAAGACCCTGATCTCCTTTAGGATGGACTGGTTGGATCTCCTTGCAGTCCAAGGGACTCTCAAGAGTCTTCTCCAACACCACAGTTCAAAGGCATCAATTCTTCAGCACTCAGCTTTCTTTATAGTCCAACTCTCCCATCCATACATGACCACTGGACAAACCATAGCCTTGACTAGATGGACCTTTGTTGGCAAAGTGATGTCTCTGCTTTTTAATATGCTATCGAGGTTGGTCATAACTTTGCTTCCAAGGAGTAAGTGTCTTTTAATTTCATGGCTGCAATCACCATCTGCAGTGATTTTGGAGCCCCAAAAAATAAAGTCAGCCACTGTTTCCACTGTTTCCCCATCCATAGATCCTACCAGCTCCCTAACCACTCTCCTTAGCTCTCTGTTCATATGCCCCCCTCCTCTGAGAGCCCTTCCCTGACCACTCAGTCGAAAGTAGCACCCTCCCGTTGGTATCCAGTGTTTCCCTGACTAGAACAGAAGTCCTGAGGGCAGGGATCTTGGCTGCCTTATCCATTCAGTGTTCCCACATGTATTCCAGGCACGTGGGGCTTATTCATTAGCTGGTGAATGGACGGATGGATGGGTGGGTGGATGTAGTCTAGCGCCCTTTCACCTGGATTTCCTTACATCTGATTTTTAAAAATTGTAATATGAAGCAGCTGAGGTATTTCTTAAGAGCTTAATCCTACATTTGGTAGTGGATTTTTAAAAATCATTTAAAGATCCTTAAACTTTTGAATGACAGTGCCAAGCATAGATGTTCCATAGAAATGGTTTCCTCTTCATTGATGTATCTTATCATATAGCACTGTAGCATACTGTTCCAGGGAAAAATAAAATCAATCTATAGCAACTATTGAAAACTAAAATTGAGTTATAATAGAACTGTGGTGTTTCTGTTAAGAAATATTTAGACTTAGAAAATGTTCAGTATTTGTCATATCATTAACAAGCCATCCAAATAATCATCTCGGAGGTACGATCATAACTGAATCAGAAGTGTCTGAGAATCACAAGTGCTGGGATAGTTGAGGGGTCCAAGTATTCACCATCAACTCAAATTCTACTTCTGCTGCATAGTAACTAGGTGACTCTGGGCAAGTTACCTACTCTCCCTATCCTCAGTATCCTCAGTCTCAGTATCCTCACCTGTTAAAATATCAGTAGTAAAAGTACCAAAACCTACCTGCTTTGTTCCAGGGATTCACTGGTTAACTTTCATCACATATTTTAAACAGAGCCTGATGTGTAAGTGCCGTGTTTAATATTTGCTTTTATAAGTTTTATTATTATCACCACCGAGTCTAGATGTCCACTAGGAGATTACTCTTTGTAATCCACCCGTAAAAAGGTTGATCGGTTAAGATCATAAGTGGTTTAAGCTTCCTCAAGTGAAGTGCATAGCAGTTCCCCTTGGAGCACTTAGCTCGATTAGACTACTTTCTGTGATCCCAAAATGCGTATTAAAGCCAAAGGAATACTAGTTTTGTAAATCCTTACATGGCACACCCATACAGCTGGTACCACAAATGATGTCACATTTCAGGAAGACCAGCTAATATATTCCATGGACTCAAAGATACTTCTTGGGATGAAACGTGTTTGATTTCTAGTTCTCAGGCTGGTCTTTGATTCAGACTCAGATGAGGGGAAAACTCTAGCCTTTCAAATAGGTCTCTGCCGAACCCATTTTGATAGCTCTGAATGTACTGGAGTTACTCATTACCACATTTAGTAATATTGGTGAAATTTCTTCATTTCTCAAAACAAGTTTTGCTTACACTCTTTCAAAAGAATGTTACTGGTATGTGGGTAGGTTGTCTGGGGCCAGCCTCTTATCTAGAGACCAGATTCAAAAAGTCTGAGTTCATCGAAGTGACTTGGGCTGCATGCTCTTGTTTTGTTTTGTTTTGTTTAATAAGCATGCATCAGTCTGGCTAAAACACCGCGCTCCCCCCAACTAGGAACAATGCCACACACACCATTTCCTGCAGTAATGGAGTTGGAAGGCAATTATCTACTCACAAAACAGGCTGAAACAACAGTTCCTGATATTCTTCTCAAATACTTTAACTTCCCAAGGAATCCGGAAAAAATAATTCCATGAGACGGTGTTGTGAATGAAGGTGTGACAATTCAGTTTCCTTGACAGGAGCCCAGTGACCGGCAGAAATGAATTACTACCCACTTGGCGTTACTGAGAGGGGCTCTGGCCCAGCGAGCCGCTTATCTTTGCCCCACGAACCCTGTGCTTGTGTGAGGATGGCCTTGGACTGTTTGTTGCCCATTTATGGGAACCATCTGTTTGTTGCCCACTTAGGGGAACCATCCCAGAGAGGACCTGCGGTTCCTGGAGCCACCTCGTTCAATGACATTGTGTCTTTTTGCTCCTAAAGAGAATTTGAGACTGCTGTTCCAGACTTCCTAGATAAGAAGTGTATATTCGCTAGAAAGAATCAGCATAGTACAATTTACAGTATGGTGAGAGCTTTCTCAGCCGTTTGGTTCCTTTATCTTGAATGGCGATTGGTGGTGGTTATTGTTCGGTTGCTAAGTTGTGTCTGATTCTTTGCAACCCCAGGGACTACAGCGTGCCAAGCTCCTCTGTCCTCCACTCTCTCCTGGAGTTGTCTCAAATTGATGTCCATTGAGTCAGTGATGCTATCTAACCCTCTCATCCTCTGCCACCCCTTTCTCCTTCAATCTTTCCCAGCATCAGGGTCTTTTCCAGTGAGTCAGCTCTTCACATCAGATGGCCAAAGTAGCTTCAGCTTCAGCATCAGTCCTTCCAATGAGTAATCAGGGTTGATTTCCTTTAGGATTGGCTGGCTCGATCTCATCGCAGTCCAAGGGACTCTCAAGAGTCTTCTCCAATACCACGGTTTGATTGGTAGATACTCATAATAAGAACTGTCTTTTCTGTGATCCTTAACCATGAAGGCATCGCCCAGGTAGCCTAATGATGTTCATGGCAAAAGTTAGCAATTAAGATGACTATTCAGACAGTGCCTTCTGGAATTCTCATCTGAAAGAAACCTTTGCAACACATTTCATCAGGGATACACACACAGGTTTTCTTCTTCATGTCCTGAGACAAAGCTGGGCACCGTCACTTGGGTGGTGATCCTGGATGGTGCCAATTGTAAAGGTATTTGGGCACTTCACGGGGTTAACTGCCTTGAATTTCATCTGAATGTTTGCGTTTACACACCCCTTGTTACTAAATAAAAGGTGTATTATGTTATGTGCAAGTGTCACTGGAGTGACGGTGGAATGAAGAGGAACTGGAGACACTGATTACTCAGGGAGATTGTAGAGGCTGTCTCCAGGAGTTTGCCACAGAAACGTAGGCTGTATGCAGTCCATTTGTTTGGGTTTCATGGGTATCCTCCTTGCCTGGAATATTAGGTATTTATTTAGTGTCTTTTCATGCAGATTGTTGTTGTAGTTTAGTCTCTCAGTCGTGTCCGACTCTTCTGCGCCGCCGTGGACTGTAGCCCACCAGACTCCTCTGTCCGTAGGATTTCCCAGACAGGAAGACTGGAGCAGGCTGCCGTTTCCTTTTCCAGCGGATCTTCCTGACCCACATCTCCTGCACTTGCAGGCAGTTTCTTTACCACTAAGCGACCAGGGCAGTCCCCTTTCGTTCAGATACATCAAGTCAAAGTATTTCACTTTTTTCTCTAAGGAAATATGTAACTTTTGAAACCAGTGTGAAACCAGCATTTAAAGGTGTTTGTTTTTTTTTTTCCTGACCGTATCAGAAATTGGTTGCTTCTATGGAAAAGGTGGAAATAGCTCACCTGAGACTTTCTTCCTTTAAAACATCCTTCCACTTTGCCTGAGCTCACCTGGCTGGACCGTGTTGCTGGCAGCCTCCACCCGGCTCCCAGTGGGCCACATGTCCTCGCTGTGGGCCTGTCTCCTTTTGACTCCGGAGAGCTCTGTTCAAGTCCACAGCCTCAGATTGAGAAATTCCAGGTGGAAACGGGTCCGTTGGTTTCATTACGGAGGGAGCAGGTGACCCTGAGAATGTAGCGAGGAGTGTGATGAAGCAGACGGCCGAGAGGGCTCGTGCCCCGCAGGGTGGCCGGTGGGCAGCGGGCCGTGCCGTGCTGGGTCCTGGCTGAGGTCGATTGGGCGGGTGGAAGCGGGCCAGGCAAGGTCTTGGCGCCCTGCTCCTCCTGTGGCGTCTGCTGGGCCGGGCCCAGTGGTCCTCGGCGCGGTTTAGGAGCTTATGGAGAACAGACTGTGTCTGGAGTCTTCAGTCAGTTGCCTGGCTGTTTGGCTCTAGTTTGTATCAGTGGAGCATTCCTGTTTTCTTATCTTGGCTCACTCCCAGGGCTGGCTTAACACAGCCGTTAGGCAACTGTATAAATCCCAGCTACCTTCATCGTCTTTCTAACAACCAGCTGTGAATAACCAACACACTGAAACACTTAAATCCTAATGGCTGCCATATACATTTAAGGATGGATGCCATTAATGTTTTCTAGTATCAGCATGATTTCCTTGGTACTACAGCAGTTCAGTAAGGTAGATCACAGTTAAATTCCAGTTTGCTCCTTGTTTGCGATCCATTGTCACCATGCTGGGTAAAGGAATGATTATGAATTTGCATTTACCATAATACCTTTTTAATAATTACTTCAAGATACAGAATGAAATTTTTCTAAAGCAAAAAATCTATCTTGGACTGGATCCAGGGGCTGCATCACTCACCCAGTCCACATTTATTTAGTTCTTACAGCGTACTTTGTGAAGAACAGGAGATGGAAGTGAAGTATAACAGTGCTGCTGCTTATAAATACCGGTGGAAAAACAAAAGCTACCTTACACGAAATGGTTGGAAAACAATTCAGATAAATTTTAGACCTCTTGGGTTGTGCATGAGGCAGAGACCATGGTGGGCTGATATAGTTCGTTCCACCTTCCAGGGAACCTTCATGGAAGAGGCAGGATGTAAAAGATGAGGGTGGTGTTATTGGCCAGAAAAGAGAAATGGGAAAAACATTGAGGAGCCTCTTTTGAACGCCAGACTCTTTGACAGTAGCTTCATGTGCGTAATGTCATTAATCCTGCCAAGTGGACATTTATATCCCTGTGTATACACGGGAGGATTAAGGATTAGAGAGATTACGAAGCTGCTCAAGCTCCTTCAACTAGGTGAGGGTTGCTAGTAAATGCTGGTTAAGCTTATTGGCTCTGAATTCCAGGAAGTTTGGGATTTGTATCCCCTCTCTTCTAAACGACTGACTGTACTTAATGTCTTTGAACTTCAATTTTGTTTTTCACCTGTAAACTGGGGGAAATAATAATAGCCGCCTCATAGATTTGGTATGATGAGTGAACTAGTGAGACCAAGCACTTAGCCGTTTCTGACATACGGTACCCACCGCATACATGTTTTAAAAATGCACATAGAATTGGAGTGAGATTCACACACACACCCTATCTGTCTCTAAAGCCTGTCCCTTGTAGAGGGAGCCGATAGGAAATCCAGACAGAGTAAGTGCAAGCAGCATGTCTGCTGAGGAGAGGCGAAGCCCCCTCATGCCCGAGCTGGGGTCGGGCTGGTGAAGGAGGGAGAGCGATGGGGAAAGTCTGCTGGAAGCCGAGGCTGAGGGGCCTCAGCCACTGGGCACAGGGTGGAGGGTGGAGGCCGGAGGACATGGGGCCCCAAGAGCCAGGAGCTCGAGGACGGGGGGGAGAGTGGGCTCGGCACGTGGGGGGCCCGGGTGGGGTCTGGAGCTCTGGTTGGGACGCCGCCCAGCACGCGCGCATCCACGTGGCCCCGTGCTGGGGGAAAGAACAGAACAGGGAGGTCCCGTGGGGGGCGCTGGCGTGGGGTCAGCCCCGTGCACGGTTGATAGCCCCAGTGGGCTCCTGGGCCGCCCTCCCTGCTCGGGAACCCCGTCCCGCTGCCGACGCCCCAGCCACGGCTGCCTGTCGGGGGACCCCTGACCTCCCTCCCCTCCTTCATCTCCCTGACCTCCCTCGCTTACCAAAGCCACGGTCAACTTTAACTAGAGATGATTCTGTCTCAATTAACAGAAAAAGTCCACAGTGTTTTATTCTACATAAATCACAAAACAGTGAATGAGAAAAGTGCAGTGTACTAGAGAGTCCCTTAGGGTGTAATTTTTTGTCTTCAGCAGGCCTCACATACTGTTTTAATGCCAACCTATAATCTACAATTTAGTAAATTGACTACACTGCTCAAAAGACTTGACATTTCCAATGTTACATCCTTTTCCCCAGTTTTTACATTTTCACCAGGTATGTCCAGTTTGAATACAGTAAGGCCCAATCTTCTTCCTTAGCAATATAGCCAAGTGGTTCCACTTCGTAGGCCTTACGATCATCTGCAAAGGTTAATATCTGAAGATAAAAAGAAATCAGGCTGAGTATTTCCTGAGCAAATCCTTTGTTAATTAAACTAAGAGCTCTCATCTCAAGGCATTAGCTGTTGCTAACATATTAAAGGAGCCCAAGTCCTGCAAATTATTAATAACTGTTGTATGTCCAGCCACTGGCTGGGCTGAAGCCTTGTAAGAGGTATAGTAACAGCAGTGATACATGTTAGGAAAGACTGTATCATAATGATTAAGAACATGGGATCCCCAGAGAGGGGAGGGGTTAGGTCCTGACCTCCTCCTCCTTAGCTGGGTCAGCTTTGCATGTTGTATCAAATTATATTTTACAAAAAAAAAAAAAAACCTTGCTCACATATTCACGTTTATCCATCTGAGCCTGTCCTGTGAGGTGGACAGGAAAGGTGTTAGTATTCTCATCTGATGTAAGAGCTGAGGTTCAGAGAGGCATTAAATGACTCAGCAGAAATTAATTAATGACAAATCCAAGACTCAGAAGCTGGAGCTTTTTCCTCTGCCTCGTTCGGCAGCACAGACCAGAAGCAGGACTTTCATGAATATAACAAGAGCAGGTCCCTGACAGCAGTCGTTTCCAAGGGCCCGGCCGCACTTGGCAATGATTCACGGTAGGGTTTCCTCTCTGTTGATTAGCTCTGGGTTGATGGTGGAGTAAGACAGTGAGGGGCAGTGTAGGGGTTTCAGACAGAATTAAGACTTACCCAGTTTAAAGCCCTGCCTTTTACTCCCAGGTCACATCTTTCCTACTTTTTGGGGTTCAGATAGTCTTAAGAAATGATGACAGAACATGGTAATTTTGTCTTTGTTTGTTAGCATCCCTACTTGATATAATAGAACTGTGGCAAAGCCACGTTGGTCCACAGACTTTGTTTTAGAAAGTTTTTTGAGTTCAGAATTTGAGAATCTGTGCTGTAGCATGATTTCATTATTTTATGTATTAAGAGTTTAGGTTTGCAGTGTTATTTAGTTTACCTGTGTTAAGCCATTAAGCCAGGCACTTGAATTTTTATACAAACTTAGTTTTCTCTCTCTTTTTTATTACCCTAAGTAGTGATTCTTAGCTTTTTTGGCAGAAGTCACAGATCGCTTTGAGAGCCTGATGGGAACCCTGGACTCTTCTGACACCCCGCCTGCTAAAGGCGCACACACGGACTGTTACCAGCACGCGCCGAGTAGCCCACAACCTCAGCGGTCCCGAAAACCAGGCGCGTCCGGGCGGCACTGGTTGGTTTGGTTGTCTGTCCCATTCTGCTTTCTTCACCCTGTTCGCTTTGCTCTGTTAGGTTTTAGGGCTCATGCGGTGGCATGGTTTCACGGGAGCCAGGACAGAAGGCTCAGCGTTGGGAAGCGTGGTTTGTCTGAAGGCCCCTAAACTTTGCGAGCTTTTCAGGCAGAGCTGTCGCTTGATGGAAGACTGACTGTTATTAGACTGTGTTGGCAAGGAAGTGGGAGCATTTCATGACAGTGTAAATTGATGTTATTTCTTTGAAGGGCCATCTGAAAATACCTATCAGCTTTTAAAGTGCACATACTTGTGTTGGGGGTGAAGACATGTATACAGAGGTCTTTGTTGGAGTCTTACATGTATGAGTGAGCACCTAGAAACATAAAAACCTGTCAGTATAAATACCTGAACTGGTTACATGAATTATCATGTCTCCACACCAGAATATAATGCAGCCGTGAAAAAGGATTGAGCAGCCCTATTGGTGAGCAAAGTGGGATGATCTCCAGAATATACTGAAATATGAAAATGCATTTTAAAAGGAGGAGCTGCACACACATGTGAGTTTGGCTGTCTTTGGAGTTTACACCAGCAGCTGGTAATGACGACTGGCTTGGTGGTGGGGGCTGGGAGGCGCAGGTCCACTGAGGGGGAGATGCTTCCTTTTTCTGTGTTGTGGTACCCAAATGATCACAACTGGGTCCTTCATAGTGTTCAGTTTTTTAAAGCTAGTTTTTAAAACAGAAATTCGTTTTTAAAGTCAGTATAGAGTATGAGAAACAGAGATGAAAGAATATTTAAATTACATGACGTCCGCCTAAATGAAAGGGATGTTGCAAAATGAACAGATTTTTTCTTTCTTTTATTGATGTATAGGTGACGTGTATTAATGTCTGCTATATAGCAAAGTGATCCAGTTACATATGTATACATATGAGACATTACGCGTTCTTTTCCATTATAGTTTACCGCAGGATGTCGAACATGGTTCCCTGTGCTGCGCAGTAGGACCTTGGTGTTGGTTCGGCTTCTTTGTAACCGTTTTTTGCCTCTGCTCCTCGCAAACCCTCCGTCCACCCCTCCCCCAGCGCCCCCCCCCCGCCCCACCCCGGCGACCACAGACCTACCCTCTCTGCCTGTGAGTCCCACCACTTTTCTTTTTGCCTCATTCCCTAATGTAAGCACATGGGGACGGGGCCCCTGATGGAGTTAAGAACTGGTAAACGAATAAATCAAAAGAAATAGCTTTTCACACAGTGTGTGGTCAGTCTAAGGAATTTACCGCCACAGGCAGTCCTGGAGGCAAATATTGTGGCTGGATTTTTTTCTCTCTCTCTTTTTTTTTTTGTTAGACTCATCGCTTCTGTGCAGTCACAACACTTGTCGTTATGCACGAAGAGATAAGGGCAATCAAACCTGCTGGTGCAGGATGTGAGCCGATCGCTGCGAAGGAAGGCCTCGCCCCAGGCTCCCTGCGTTTTTGGCCGCTTCCACTGCCGCAGAATAGCGTTACACAATTGGCTGGGTTCTCTCTGAAGAATGGACAGTACTTCCTCTGAATCATTAGATATTATCCGCAGCCAGAGGAAGGACTGCAGACCTGCCAGAAGCAAGGCTCTTCACTCTATGTTTTTTTTGCACCCAGAGTGATGGCTCCTTCAGTTCAGAATGAGGCCTCTGGGCGGGACTGCTCCCCCGCTGCTGTTTCCCAGCAAAGAGCAGGCTCGAAGGGGAAGAGCAGGCTCCAGCTCCCCTCCTGCGGAGCAGGCCGGCTCCTCGAAACAACACACCCTAGATTATTGAGCGAGCGACTGAATAGATACTCAGGAAATAACTCATGCTTTTTTTATTCCTTTCTCTCTCTCTCCTTCCTTCTTTGGCTCCAACTGGCAATGAATCCCTCCACCAGGGGGTAGACGGAGGACATGAACTAGCGGCGGCCAGCCTCATTAGCCCTCGTAGCCAATTAGACATTGTTGCGGGTCTCGTATATCCACGCGACTCAAGGAAGCGTGCACCCACGTACCTCTCTCTTAGGTTTTAAGAGTAATGCGTATCGGGTTGACTGGAGTTTGAGCAAGTGAACGGGGTGTAAAATAGAATATGATGTCAAGCTGAGCAAGCTTGAGTTGCACTGTAACAGACCCTGCTGCGGAAGGACTGCATTCTGTCCCTGCCGTGTGATCAGACCAAGGGCAAACCTTTGAAGCGTCGGGTCACTTGTATAAGGTGACTCTCTCATTAAAGAAATTTCTCCCCTCTTTTGCGGGAGGGGGGATCGGGATGGGGAACACATAAATCCATGGCTGATTCATGTCAATGTATGGCAAAAACCACTACAATGTTGTAAAGTAATTAGCCTCCAACTAATAAAAATATATGAAAAAAAAAAAAAGAAATTTCTCCCCTCTTTTGGAATCCAGTAGCAGGCCGGCGGGGTAATTTGTGCAGTGTGCAGAATCCGCGTGCTTCCTTTCTCTCTTTGGCAGGAGGGAGGGGGTGCGCACTGAGTGGCTTGGGGGACCTTGGTTCTCCGGCGAGGGATTGAACCCAGGTTCCCCGCGGGGGAGGCTTGGCGTCTTCGCCTCTAGACCCCCAGGGGAGTCCTGCTGCCTCTTCTCAGTGCTCTGCTTTGCGGGGCTTTTGCCATCAGCCAGCAGCTGGATGGCGTCTACACAGTTACGATCCCGGGCCCATCTGGTGGCTCAGCGCAGGGGCGTGGCATCTTGTCTGTCCTGCAGACAAGATCCAAAACAGTCGGTCGTCCAGATACCCAGAGCCAGGAGAAACTTGCTTCCGTCATTATTGTTTGGCTTAATTACATGCTAGGAAGTTCCAGCTGAGCTTTTAAAATAAGATCTCCCATTATATTCAATTATGATTCCTTTTTTGCTGGCCAAGCCCACGGGCACCACGTACAATCCCCCCTTTTCCACCGTTTTAGGAGACCCAGTCCGTTCCCAGTATCGCCCAGCAGAACTTTCTGCGGTGATGGAGGTGTGAGCGGTTCCGTTCCAGCAGCCACCGGCGTGGGCTGAGCTCTGAGACTGTGGCTGGCGTGACCGAGGGTGTCCGATAAGGTCTGACTGTCGCTGACTTGTAGACATCGATGCCACCCAGCTTCAGCCCATTACGTCCCAGCCCATCTCGACGTTAGTGTCCGAGCACATACAGAAGTGATGCAGCTATTTTCTTTCTTCCTGGGCAGAACATTGCCATGGAGATTTAAGAGCAACACTAAGAAATGGTTTTCACACTGTTTCAGGGGAAGGGGTGCAGTCTTGTCACCACGCAGCGCCTGCAGCTGTGACGCAGATGCTGTCACGGGGCCTGAGCCCCTACCTCCTACCTGAATGGCAACCTCACTGAACAGTAGTGAGGCCTCTTTTCTAAGTGGAAAAACCCCTAGCAAAACTCTAAAAATCTTATGTTTGCATGGCCAAGAGCAACATGGGGTACTGGGAAATTCCATCAGTAAGCCAAGCAACTTTTTGGCAGCAGGGACCCTGTCTTTTATCTGTTTCCTTCGTTCCTAGCATAAATTTTAATAAGTGCTTCTCCAATGAGTGGCTTAGTATGTGGACTAACAAACGAACATGGCTTAGAAAGGATGCTGGTAACTTAACCTCCCAGGAGTCTCTCATTAAAACCCCCAGTACCCCAGCAGGTATCTTTACTAGCCGAGAAGTGAAGTTACAGATACACACAATGTAATCATGTTTTGGACTTAGGCGACAACTAATACAAAAACACTGCAGACTCATCTATGACTAATTTGAATACTGTACAGAATAAACGGTAGCCTACATTTGAGCCTGAATAGTCATTGGAAGAACTGATGCTGAAGCTGAAGCTCCAGTGCACTGGCCACCTGATGTGAAGAGCCAGCTCTCTGGAAAAGGCCCTGACGCTCGGAAAGATTGAAGGTGGGAGGAGAAGGGGGCGACAGAGGATGAGATGGTTGGATGGCATCACTGACTCAATGGACATGAGTTTGAGCAAACTCCAGGAGTTGGTGATGGACAGGAAGCCTGGCGTGCTGCAGTTCATGGGATCACAAAGAGTAGGACACGACTTAGCTACTGAACAAGGTTTATAAAATCTGTGAATCCAGGAAAGAAGTGTCCACTTCCCATCAGACTTTTAGCTTCTCATTGATTCTGTTTTGTAGGATGACCCTCCTCCTCTCCTGCCATTCCTTCCCACCTGAACCTGCTTTTTACCAGCGCACTGACCAAAGGACGTGACCTAGCCCAGTCCCTCCCTGCCGCGACTCGCGCCCCGTTTTACCGTTACTGTGATCCACTGTGTGAAATTGCTTTGTGAACTAAAGCGCAGGGTAGCTCGTTTTGCAGACAGCAGCGTTCGCCGTCTGCACCCCCGTTGAGCTGGGCGGCACCTGTTGTCCAGCCCGAGTGCTTTCTTCTTTGTTCTCATCACAGCAGTCTGTCAGTTTCTTCACCCGATCGACTCATTTCTGCCCTTTTTTTAAAGTCATACATAACGATTGGAACGTCCTATCTGGTCAAGTGCTCTAACCTCGTTTCCTTCCTGGTAACAGCATACTTGAAATTCCAGCTCAAATGTAGATGCTTTCAAACAGCAAGCCGGAGAGCTATGGAAGGAAGAGCTCGGAGCTCTGGGAAGTGTGATAACTGACCTAAAAGTCTGCTCGTGCCAGCAGCTGGCTGTGTGATCTCGGACGAGTTACGCTGCCTGGGCTCGTTTCCTGCCTCTGTAATACGGGGAGAGAGGAGTCCAGGTGCCTCAGATGGTCTCTCCACTCTCGAGAGCCTTATTGAGCAGTTCGGTCACCCTCGTGTGCCTCTGTCACTACAGGGCGACCCGAGACGTCCTTGAGTGAGTCAGCGAAGTCCCGTCTCTCCTGTGATCGCAGGCCCACGTGACGCCGTCTTGTCCGTCCTGGACCTCCACGGGGAAGGTATTCCTGGACTGGAGCAGGCTGCGTCCCCCTGCCTGTCCCCACTGTGACCCACGCCTGCAAGGCTGAGCATTCGTCCCCCTTGGGCCCGCCCAGGGGGCTCCTGCTAAGTCAGCAAAGCCTGTGTTTGGCCCCCTGTGGGTGGCCTGCACAGATGCTGAGAGGCGCTGGTTCCCGCGGCCCATGACTGGACCCAGCGTCTTGC